TGAAGATCGATTTCAAATCGAAATCAATAATCGTTTGCTTTAGGTCAACTGTATCCAAGCCCTCACGAGTTCGACCTCGAATACTGGGAGCCATTACCCTCGGATTAAGATCTTTAGCAAGGGAAAAAGAAAATTTGATGTGCTAAAAGCTAAGGCTTGGTGATTAGGATTTATTGTAAGGGTAAAACGGTCATATGAACCGTGCCCATATAGTCCACTCTAGCCACGACACAAGTTTTTATGCGCCTTTGATTGTGTACCTTGCATACTAAGCAATGAAAGAAAATTCTACTTCCCTTACACTTTATTACTGCGCATTTTGCTTCTTCGATCCTGGATCCTAAAGCCTACGGGCTACCCCTGCTCGGGGACTGTCAAGCCTATGGGCTACCCTTACTTGGAGACTGTCGCCTAATAAAAATTCGGACGACTCGAGCTACTGAATCTTGGAGGCACCAAACCCACTAGGCGGTGCCCGAATATAAAAGGTTACGACCACCCTAAAAATGGCTCGGAGACGTCCGAAATCCGTAACCAGAAAGTAGGGCCCTTACGAAAATTTGAAACCTACTAAAAGGTTTCCCTCAACAAAAACATCATCTAATATACTTAAACATCTTAAAGACCTTCGATCTCACTGAGGGTTTGAAGCCACAAGTAAACTAAAGTTGCATCGAAGTCGGGTTCCATTCGAACCTCCAAACAACAGACGCTTTAAAACTGTATCTGATGTTATGCTAAGGCATCAAAAACTATACGCAAATAGAAATTTCAAGTAGATGCTAGAAAAGTAAAGACACGGTATTGCCAGAAAGGGGAAAATTTTAAATACTCCAAAATATATTTACAAAGGCTCTATAGAACGACCTCAAAATAAACAAAAAAAGTTACATAAGGAAAAACTGGAAAAATACTAAGGCATTTACGCCTGGTCTTCACCGGGGCCCGACTCGTCGCCAGAACCATTAGAGCCCTCGGAGCCTTCGGGACCCTCGAGCTCATAAAGCTCATTTGCCTCGGCCTCGAGCCTCCTAGATTCTTCAATCTTGGTCGATAGGTCAAAGCCTCGGGCATGATCTCTTCAAGGGTCTCTCTCCAGGATAGTCACTTTATGTACTCAATCTTTGTCTTTAAGCAGATCTCGGCTACCTCCACATCGGTCTTATACTGGGCCACCATTTCCTCGGGATCGGCAGAGGTTACATCCAATTTGGACCTAAGTGCGGCATATTATTATCCAAGAGCATCTTATTCCATGACGGCCGAGCTCAGTTGTGCCCGAGGATCATCATTTAACCGAGACCACTTATCGACTTTGTCCTTCACCACCCGGAGTTGGTTCTCGACCGATGCCAGCTCCGCCCTTGCAGCTTCCTTCTCCGAAGCCAACAGGTCCATCTTGCCCTTCCACACTTCGGTCGTGGCCTTGACCTCGTCCATCTCAGCCCAAAGCTGGTGGATCAGGTCTATCTTTTCTTGGACCTGCGAAGTTGTGTTGTTAGTATCCACTACTAGCAGCTCATTTTTAGCCTAAAAAAGCTTTACCTTCTCAACCAGGTCGGCGTGTTCCCGCTTCAGGGTCGAGGCCTCCTTTTGAGCTTTTTTCAGCTTGGCCTGGAGAATATGGAGGTCTTTGAGGGCCTCTTCCTGGTGCTTACTAAGAGCCATGTACATATCCTTCTTCCGGACATGCTCTTTGAGCTCGAAATCGAGCTGGATAATCTCCAAGCGCTACCGGATAAAGCTTTCATGGTGAAGCACTGAAGCCTGAAAACAATAAAGTTAGTAGAGCACTTTAAAAACTAAAGTGACATTCACAAAGGGGTAGAAAGGGTTGCGTCTTACCCGGTTCAGCGCATGTTACGCCTCGTTGAAGAGGCTCGACGTGCCCACTTCGTTCATCTTTGCCTTACACGAAACAGACAGGACCCGAGCATCCTCCAGGATTTTAAGAATGATCGTTCTCTTGTGCTCGGGGTCCATTCTAGGAGTAGGATATTGCTTTACTAGCTTTGTGCTCGAACTTGGTACGCCCGCTCTCGATGGCACATCCTTCTTCGAGACCTCCAGGTGACCAAGACCGGAAAAATCCTCCACTGCGACCATATCCATGCCGTCGAAGAACGTGTTGAGGGCATCTTCTAGATCCTGTGCCACCTCGTTTGACTTCTCTTTCCGGCTTGGGCCTCTTCGAGCATGGACTCAGTATAGGAGGGTGTCTCCACGATGTCAATGACACCGGTTGCCTCCTTCGTAACAAGAGCGACTTCCTGGGAGGCCGTAGCTTCCGTCTCTCCCTCTGGTTCCCAAGTTAGAGGGGGATCGACCTCATGGTCCTCTTTCTCTGTCGTTGCCTGCTCCCCCTCATTGAGGGTCGACCCATGAGCGAAGAAAAGGTCGTCATCTTCGGCCTCGTCCTTGAGTCAGTAGAGAGAATCGGGGTCCGCTACCCTGGACTTAGTGCTCTTTTTGGGCTTCCGGACCTAGATGGTCACATTCTTCTTCTTCACCTCGGCGTCCAGGGAACCCGAGGACTTTCTCTTCTTCTTTTTGTTATTGTTGTTGTTGTTGTTGTTGTTGTTGTTGTTCTTCTTCTTCTTCTTCTTCTTCTTCTTCTCCTCCTCCTCCTTCGTGGCAGCCCTAGGCTGACCCAAAATGGAGGGTTCGACGAGCGAGGACGGATCCTCTTCCTCATCTAACGATCTAAGTTTAGTGGTCTTAGGCAAACCTGTAAGAAAAGCGAAAGGGTTAGCACTGTGTAAGTTAAGAGCATGGTGATAATTATTCAGGGAAGAACCTCACCATAAGAATGGGCCTCCCATTTGCCATTCGAAAGCTTGCGCCATGCGCACTCTGAGTACGGAATCTGCTTGCAGATCCTCTCGATTCACTCCTTGAATCGGGGGATTACATTAGAAACTTGGGCAATAGCTGCATGACCACAAACACATACAATGAGAGAAAAGAGTAAAAATAAATGAATACTCGAGAAAGACAATACTTACGGTATGTGTTCCACTCCTTAGGGAACGACAGAATCTCGGGAGGGATCAAGTATTCGGTTTTCACCAGAACGAACCTCCCATCCCAGCCTCGGTCTCGGTCCTCATCAATGCTCGAGAAATGAGCCTTGCTTGCTCTGCGAATGAGCTTGATCAGTCCTCCTTGGAAGATTCGGGGACTGTATAGGCAGAGTAGATGGTCGAGGGTGAACTGAGGGGCTTTGGTATTGTTCACGAAATGGCGTAAGAGGATCACGATTCTCCAGAAAGAACGGGTGGATTTGCCCAAGGTACACCTCGTACCTTTGGGTAGTAATATCCTCATTGCGCTCGGGAATGACCATGTCCTTACCCTCTTATTTATAATCCGCTCGAACTATGGGTAGAGTCTCTTCAGTTACGGAGCATATGTACCTCCATGCTCCATCGCCTCGATCTTGTTGACTAGAGGCCTTCTCGACATTGAAGTTGTTCCCGATAGAGCAGCTTCCGAGTATGAAGCTCTTCATGGGAGGCTCTTGAGCCACTTGGGGAACGACCACCTCGGCATCTGGGTGAGAAGATGAAGGAGCAACCCGCTGATGCACCGCCTTGCAGATTTTTGCCATTGTAATCTAGGAAATATGAAGGTCTGGGTTGAAGGTTCAAAGAAAATATATGAGGGTTGAAGATGAAGATATGAAGTCTCAAAGAACAATGTATGAAGATTTGGAGAAGTTAAAAGTCGTTAGTGAGTTTGAGGGTAACATATAGAATCAGAAAGTGGAAGAAGTGAAAAAGGTTGAAGCTTTTATAAGGGAAAAAACAATCAATGCGCGACGTTTCGCATTCGAAGGCAGCCAACCGGTGACTAACACGTGTTCGAAGTCAGAACGACACGACTGATGGGACGTTTTGATTTACCCGTCATCTCAGTTGTAACGTACGAAGGAAGGAATCGGGGTTCATCTATCATTTTCTATCGTTTCGGCAAACCTACTCTCTAAAAAACGAGTGGACTATCTGTATACGGGTAAAATCGGGGATATTGCATAACCTGATTTCCTGGTGAAGAAAATGGAAGAAGGGCATGGATGCACGAGATTGAAATCGAGGCTGGGAACCCTTCGTATCGAGATCCTTGAAAGGTGAACGATGTGTTCATCATCGGGCATGATAAAACGATGCTCCCCGGACCCAAAATGAGTTTTAAGATCTCAGAAAATACGGTAAACAGTTACACAGGACGGATAGAGGGCCGTGATATTCGTACCTAACCGGATATCACGACACAGATCTCGCTCGATTTCGGTTACGGATTAGTAATTAACGAGAAAGAAAGATTTTTACCTTTTTTAGACTTGTACTAGGGGTGAAACTTCCCTACTATATGAATGAGAAGTATTTCTTTTGTAAGGAACATTGTAACACGCGAATCAAAGTAATACAAATTTATTTTCTGCTTTCTAGCTACTGCTAAAGTTCTTATTTAATTGTTCTTTTCTTCATTTATAACTGAGCTCGAACCAAGGGTCCAATCGAGGTCAAAATTACTGTTCAACCTAGGTTTGGGCTAAGCCATAATATTACAGCTGGTTTGATCGTTTATTTCGCTTTAACTCGTTTATCTAATATTCTTGATTATTTGTGTTGAATCAATCCACGTATCCTTAAAACCGCGTACAAATTTAATTGTTATCCGATTTAAGGGTAAACAATAGGAAAAAGACATTGTATAGCCGCTCTCAAAATAATAGCAGAAAAATATATATTTTTTGTATTTATATACATTATGTGTTATATATATATATATATAAATTATACAATTTTATACATTTTTTCGGTTATATAAATAGTTTCTGGCGTTCCTAAAAATAAAAATAAAAAACAAAACAGTAAAATACAACACCAAAATGATTGACCCCGGCACAACCTGTCCACTACCATATAATTCTCATATTAAATCTCCTTTGTCTCTCTCCTGTCTCTATTAAAGGGGTGGACAAACAAACGTAACAGAGCATTCTCATATTATCCACACAATTAAGAGATCTAGAAAAGCTTACTTCTATCTCTCATATGTATTTAGCTTCTTAAATTTCTAAAGAATAGCATCTAACCCAAGAAAATAGCCAAATGTTTTCACGTTTTCGGGAGTGAATGATATATAAATTATACGCGTCAATTTTTCCCTCTCTCTATAACGGCCTTATTGCATTCCTATATATATTGCTTTCATCTCTTGAGTACCCTTTTTTGTTTCAGAAAAGTTTCTTCGTAAGAAGAAGAAAAAATTTGTCTTTGTTTTTTAATATGCAAATCAAGAAGTCTTTCTCAATGTCCTCTCGCACAGGAAGAGATTTGCAGAGATACAATCATGGTTGTCGTCAAGTTGTTGGGTGCGTATTCATTTATTTATTCCTTCTTATAATTTGTATTTCAAATAATGTTTTCGAGGGCAAATATGAGAATTGTTTGTGATATATACCTTTAAAATATTTTGAATTTGTTAATTATTGTGACTTGTACTACTTTTTACATAGTTTCAAATATATATATCTTATTTCAATAACTCAAAAATCCTATATTCATATTCACGATCAAAATTAAGAAGTTTGACTCTCGAACTCACCTGGCTTTTCTCTCATTTTACCATAATGGTGCAGATGTATTCCGTACAGATGCAAGAAAACGGACCAATCATCTTGTGTTCAGCGTACCCCTATTGATGATTTGGAATTTTTATTAATCAGCTCGCAGAAAAATCCAAGAATGATGTTCCCTAAGGTATATCTTTGGACAATTAATTCAATCCAATTATATAGTACTGATTTGTTTAGTTCCCAATTGATATAGGGAAAATGGTTCCATTGTATTAGTAATGTATCATTCACCAATTGACATTCTTGATTTTGCAATTAAAACGTAGGGTGGTTGGGAAATTGATGAATCATTAGAAGAGGCAGCTTCAAGAGAGACATTTGAAGAAGCTGGAGTTGTTGGTGAGGTTGAGGTTCAGGTTCGTTTCTGCATGCGAAAATAAATAGTGAATTAATTTTGATTATTCATCTTCTTCTTTTTTTCTCCGTAATTTAGAATTGAGGCATAGTTATTATTTTTGTACATAAGCCTTAAAATTTTGCTCATTACTTAACTATATTTTTCGGTGTTCTATTTGCAGGAATACTTAGGTACATGGAGTTTCAAAAGCAAAAGCCAAGGTACATTTCATGAGGGGCACATGTTTCCTTTGCGTGTGACTGAGGAACTAGACGATTGGCCTGAAAAAACTGTCCGTCGACGTTTATGGGTATGCTTTCAATCTGCAATAGGAACTATTCTGATCTTGAATCACTTGGATCTTAATGAAAAATTTGTTAGGTGTGCGAACAAAGTCTCATATTGATAGCTAAAAAGATTGGGAATTTACATATAAGGTATATGGATCTCTTAATGGTGTGAGGCATTTTAGGAAAAATCGTGCGAGCTTGGCCCAAAGCAAACAATATCATACTATGTTCAGAATATCTTTAAGCGGTTTTAGCCCGACAAAATATATTCTCATGATGTTGAATTTGATTCAATTATGCAGGTGAATTTTAGTGAAGCAAGGGAAGTATGTTGGCATCCATGGATGAAAGAAGCATTAGATGTCTTTGCTTCTAAGCTTTCCAAGAGAAAAGAAGGGCCTCATATATTCCATTTATTGTCGGATGAAGGTACTGTTGTGTGTTGTAGCTAAGCCAATGGAGTACTAACAACAACAACAAATACAGTGTAGTTTCACAAGTGGGATTTGGGGAGGGTAGTGTGTCTGCAAACCTTACCCCTATTCAAGATAGAGAAGTTGTTTCCAATAGACTCTCGGCTCAGGAACAATAAGAAGAAACGAGTAACAACAAATAGTAACACCAGCATGCCAATCAGAAAATCGAAGCGAAGGAAATAACAAGTGATAACAAAAATTAGTACTCCGTGTTCAGAGCAGAACCGTGAATGAACACCAAAGCGAAGACACAAGCTTCCAATGAAGATAAAAGAACAAACATTGTTGCACAAAAGTTAGCAACAAAAAAAGGAGGACAAAACCTCTTGGAATCAGTCTTGTACCTTGAAGTGCCTTGTATGGCAATTTGATACTACTATTTTTCTTAAAGAAGCATGCAATGAAGAATCAGCAATAGCATCTGAAAGTCCACAAACAGATTAAAAGAAAAGGAACCTTCGGCATTAATTATATCCCAAAGTCTACAACAAAATGCAGAGATTGACAATCTTTGGTTGCAAATTGCAACGACACAAGTGTTTAACTGAAGAGAAGCCTCATGGCCTGTTTGATAGAATTATAAAATTGTCCCTCAAATTGGATTAAGAGCTGTTTCTGTCGCACCTTGTTTAATATGTTGGTGAGAGCTAGCATCTTAAATAGGACTTTATCAATTTTCTCAAACTGCACTGCCTATTCAAGCTACCAAAAGGAAGAGGTGATTTGAAGCCTGATTTATTATGGGTTTAGATCATATGAAAATAGAGAGTATTAGAGAACATGGGTTCTTTAGGATGTTAATTAAGAGTTATAAGTAGAGTTTATGTACAACTTTTTTCTGAATTCATGATTTAATTCATCAAGATTTATTCATTCTTTCACAACTTCTTTCATATTTCATTTAAAAAGCAAAAATGTAGTTGACTAATTAATTGTTAATNNTGTACATAATGAACTGAAAACTCCTCTATTTATAGAAGAAAGGAAGCAGCTGCGAGGCTTTTCAGGAAGCAGCTGCAAGGCTTTTCTTTAGCTGCTTGTAAGCTGTCTGCATGAGCTGCTTGCAACCTGCCTGTTTAATAAGAAGCTGCTGCAAATCATTTCATTGAGCTGCTTGCAACCTGCCTGCATCAGCTGCTTGTAGATAAACTTCAACAGAGTACTAAATGGATAATCTTCTTCAGGAAGATTATCTATAGCGGAGTAATAAATGAACATCCACAATATAATTATTTTCATAACACTCCCCCTTGGATGATCATTAAAAGGTATTGTGCCTCGTTAAAACCTTACTAGGAAAAATCCAGTAAAAAAAATCTTAGTGAAGGAAAAAGAGTACACATATCTAGTAATACGCATTTCTAGTTGCCTCATTAAAAACCTTATAAGGAAAACCCTATGGGAAAAAATCTTAGTAAGGAAAAAAGAGTACATCGCGTATTTTACTCCCCCTGACGAAAACCCTGTTTCAAATATTTGAGTCTCCGCATTCCAATCTTGTATACCATCTTCTCAAAAG